GCATACTTTTAGGCTTGACTACACTGTGAAAAAGAAAGTAGTTATAATTATTGCTGTTTTAATCTTTTCTAATCTTTAATCTGTTTGTTGCTGAAGTTTATTCTGATGCTTGATACTGAATCCTTTACTTGAAGCACTGAGTGCATTTTCTGTATCTGTTAAACCCACATGTTATAAATAGACACACAAATTGCATTTTACATATATAACAAATACATTTATCTTACAAATTGTGGCATACAAAAAAATCTTTCTTCACTGTGCTGGCTTATGTCTGCTAGCTGATCTCCTTTCCTCTTGCATGCTATGCTACTGACTTGTTCCTTCTTCTGGTAGCTCAAGGGTCACATTTCAGTTCAAGTTCCACGGACCACGCTTTCAAACAAATCCTATTTTTATCCACTTTCTTATGACATGATAACATCAGAATAATGTCACTTTTGAGGTTGCGTGACCGAAACTGAGGCTCCTCTGAGATAGGCATGGCATTGAATATAAAATGTGAATAGAGATCTTCACTGCTTTGGGTATTACCACAGAGGCATCCGTGGCTAAATTATTACCACTGATGTTATTCATATACAAGCTCCATTTAACTCAATTACAAGTTAACCTGTGGTCACATATGTACTTATGAGGTGATTTTCTTGAATTCATGTTTATGGAAATGAGAACTCGGGTGAAATTATTTGTAACAGAAAGTTAATAATAGTCTTGACTTGAAAAAGCTACAAAATAAAGACATACATCAATATGACACAATACATCTACATTAATTATTGAATTACACATTGTACAAAAACTCATCTGTTCTTTTATGAAAATGCAACTTTTCTCAGGTTCTTGAGATGTTAAACGGCATGGTTCAAACCCACATTATTTGCATATGCAAATTACTCAGATACGTCCTCCTCTCACTGATACAAGGAAGTATTTAAAGACAGAAACTATGAATGATCTGTGCCACTGCTCTTCAGTAACTAAGCTGAACTGTCACCTCACCATGTCTGTCCACTGTATACTGGCTATACTCATCCTTGTGATGACTCTTGATGATCAAGGTATGTGTTGTTTATAATTTATTTTTTTTATGTGGACTATTACAGACATGAGGGCTTGCATTTTACAGACAATGCATGACGATGAATCTATTTACCTGGGTATTTCTTTTTTTCGTCTCCCAGTTTACTCGGGGAAGATCATTGGAGGACATGAGGCTGTGCCACATAGCAGGCCATACATGGTGCTTTTGGAGATAAACATGTCAGATGGTCAAAAAAAGCACTGCGGTGGCTTCCTTCTGAATGAGGATTTTGTGATGACTGCTGCCCACTGTTGCGCTAAGTGAGTTCAAGACATGTACTTACCTATCAACTGAGCTGACACCAAAGTCTGCGTCCCTGACAGAATTTTTATCCATAATAAAGCTAAGAAGACGCATTAAAATTTCAAAACACCTTAATAAGTAATATCGATGCGTGATAATGATATGATAATGTCAACAACAGTGATTAGTAATGTTTGTTTTCTGAATATAATACCCTGACAGAAACAGTCATCATTTCATTCATAAATTATATTTTCACATATATATATTTTTTTTATTTCAGGTCTTACACTGCCTTACTAGGAGTTCACAATGTGAATTCAAACAGTGAAATACAGCGCATATCTGCGGAACAACCATTTCCACATAAACACTTCAATGCAACTTCCCTTGTGAATGATGTAATGCTTTTGAAGGTAAGAATATCATCACACAGAAAATTCATATTTATTTACTATTAGCATTGTTTGTTTATGAAAACACATATTTACCACATTGTGTAATTATATTGAAAATTTTGTTTTAGTAAATCTGCACTGAAAGAAAACAACAAAAATCCCATATTTTAATTTTCATGTATATATCTTTCTCTTTTTTAAAGTTGAGCTCCAAGGCAAAGTTCAGTGAGAATGTGAAGCCTATTCCTCTGGCGAGTCATGATGATGGTACTTTGCCAAAATCATGTATACTCTCTGGCTGGGGACGAACAGACAAAAATGGTAAATATATGTCTCCCAAGCTCATGGAAATCAGTGTTACACTGATTGACAATAAAGAATGTGCTATAGAAAACTTCTACTGCTCTCAGGGAGACACAGGTCCAGCTGAGGTACATACATTTCTTTAATTATGGACAATCAAACTCTATGGTAATAACTTCACTATTCACTTTAAGCATCGGGTGTGTATATACTTTCAGGGAGACTCTGGTGGTCCATTGGTGTGTGAAGATGGAAAGGCATTTGGGGTGGTGTCCAGCGCAGTCACACCACACTCAGGTGGCTCAGATATCTATAGATACTCGAAGATTCCTGACTCTAGAAACTGGATATTTTCAACCATTGGAAATGCCATGATAAAGGTGTAATGCTTATGAAAGCAGGTTGTTTAAACCACAAAATTTGGTTTCACTGTTTGTGATCAAAAACTGATCATTGCAATGCTAATGTGAGTATGGTTTTGTTGGCTTTGCAGGGATTTAGATAGAATAGAGTTTATTTTAATATAACTGCAGGAAAAAAAAGGGGAAAAAAAGTTACATTTGCATTTCCAAAAAGTTATATTTGCACACAGATTAATCATGACTTGAAATCTAAAATTTTTTTCAAATACCATTAAACATTAAATTCTGGCATTCTCTCGGCATGTGTGTGTGGTGTAATCTTTTTTTTTTTTTTTTTTTTTTTTTTTTTAATTTAATTAATTCAAATAAAATGACAACACTGCCTCCTTGTGTAAAACAGGTACTATTGCATTACAGTCTCACCGCTCATTTCTTAAATTCAGAGTTATAAAGGCCTTTTCATTTATGGGTTTTAAAACTAATTGACTATGCAAGACCAATAACGTTATTTTATAAGTAACTGACAAAGTGGACAAGTGACACTGAGAGCATATGGTGCCATTTCCAATAAAAACTAACATCATTTTGTCATTAAATACATTCAGTTATCAAATAAAGTAATTTATTACCACTCCAGAGCTCGTTAAAGTAAATTAAAATAATTCCATTAGATTTATTTTTTGTGTAGTAGAACTGAAGTGGCTTTGAATACTTTGTAAGTAAGGAAATGCAACACTGAACATGATTTTTTTTTGTTTTTTTTAATTCACACAGACAACCGTATAGGAAATTTATTAAAATATTATAAACCAACAAGACAAAAGTTGTCTAAATTATTAAATTGCTAATGTTAGGACAGAATAACCCTTTTGTTGGTCAGCAGTTATACATCACCTGTAACAGTAATGATCCAAACTACACATATTTTAGGCCTGATATAATGCTTAAATATAAGGCTTAAATCAGGCCTAATATGGTATGGAACACATAACAAAAGGCATTTGTATTAAAAATATCAAAACCATATCGTATTATCTGTATCACACTGTATTTTGAGTTTTAGTTTTGGTATAGAATAAATTATGATAACCATTTAACTAGTTCATATCCTAAATTCAAAAGTTGCATAGACATCGTTTATTTTTTTTAAATGTATTTGCACACATTAGGCTGCTTGGGATGTGACCCGTGATGCACTGAGTGTTTCTTCTTCACTCAACATTGTTTTTTCACTCACTGTGTGTACACACCTCTTTGCATCTAATTATTAGTTAATCTCTGGCTCTCTTCAATAGTGTGTCTTTGTCTTGTCATCCTCTCATCACCCCCAAACGGTCGGGCCCTCCCTGAGCCTGGTTCTGCCACAGGTTTCATCCTGTTAAAAGGGAGGTTTTCCATGGCAGTATCACCAAAGTGCTTGTATTTTCTTAGCTAGTACAGCCATGTTTACCTGCTCCCTTAGATCTGCCACCAAGCAGCTCCTTAAGTTGCCAAAAACCAAGCATAAATTTAGAGGTGACCGTGCTTTCCCTGTAGCTGCTTCAAAGTTGTGGAATGATCTGCCCTTACAGATTAGGCAGACTTCTTCTCTTTCTGAGTTTAAGACTCTTCTTAAAACATATTTATTTAGTAAAGCCTTTGGCACATTTTGAGAAGTTGACTCTATTTTTCTATTTTCAATTTTTTTTTTTTACCACGTTTGATTTTATTTTCTGTTTATTCTATTTTTATACGTACAGCACTTTGTGAACCCTGGTTTATTTTAAAGTGCTTTATAAATAAAGGTGGTATTGAATATGCATATTAGCTGCCTAGCTGTCGAACTCAAATGCAGGTCTACTTTTTAGATGAAATAGTGAAGTTATCTAAAGTGAATGGAAGTTGCAACAGTTTAGTCCACAATCTTCACACAGTGGCTTCCCGTGGTGATGACGTGAAAACCTCAAACTTTAATCCCCAGCTCGTGGTGCAGCACCCGTGTTGTCCTCTCCACTTTCAACTCCTGGTGCAAAAGATGAAAATGTAAGAAGGTAATCCAAAGAGGACATCAGAATACTACACACATTTGCAACCCTGCTGACGATCATCTCAATAAATAATATTCAGTCCAGTTTTTCCAAATGACCTCTCTTTACTGATATGAGAATTTCTTTTTTTGCATAAAAAGTGAACAGGTGGAGGAATAACTTACTGATTAAAAGTCATGACTTTTGCAAAATCTGTAAAATATAGTAAGAAATTACTACTTAAGAATCTCGTCTCTCTGTGTTTTATATCTGTGGCCACACATTTTTACCACAGTCATAGTTTCCTGCTGTAAAGATACGAACACTTTATAAACTAACTATGCAAAACACATGTTTACATAGAATATGACAAATACACTACTTAGCTATAAAATTACACTTTGTATAAAAATTCATTTGTTGACTTCTGAAAATACAGCTTTCTGGAGGTTTTGAACATTTCTGGTTTAAAGCTAAATCATTTGCTTGTGCAAACTACTCAAAAAAAACCCAACAACAACTTCCTGCTCTAACTGATATGAAGAAGCATTTAAAGACAGAAACTGACTGTGACTGATGCCACTGCTCTTTAGAAACTCAGTAGAATTGTGACCTCACCATGTCTGTCCACTTCCTGGCCTTACTCGTGCTTGTGCTGACTCTTGAAGAACAAGGTAGGTGGGTTTTTTTTTTTGTGTGGCTTGCATTTTATAGCATTTGACAGACAATGCATGATGATGGATCTATTTAACTGAGTATTTTTCTTTTTGTCTCCCAGTTTACTTGGGGAAGATCACTGGAGGCCATGAGGCTGTGCCACATAGCAGACCATACATGGTGCTTTTGCAGAGGCACATGTTAGATGGTCAAAAAAAGTACTGCGGTGGCTTCCTCCTGAATGAGGATTTTGTGATGACTGCTGCCCACTGTCACGCCAAGTGAGTTTCATAAATGTATTTAATTATGAGGCCAAAAACTAGTTCATGGAGACCCTGACATAAATTCTTATCCATAATAAAATTAAGGCTCACGCAAAAACATTTGTAAATTTGTAAATAAATGGTATCTATATGTACCACGATTGTCATGGTCCTGGGCCATGTGGGCCCAGTATTCTTAGTTCCTTGTATTTTTGTATTTCGTTCCTTATTTAGGCCATGTTTTCTGAGTTGCCCTGTTGTGTTGTTCCCTAAGTGTTTTCCCGTCATGGCTTTTACCCCCTGTGTGCCCCTCTGTGTATCTGTGAGCCCTCGTCTCTCCTTATGTTCTATTCCATGTTTCCCCTGCCCATTATGTCTAAGTTCTCCCCGTGCTCTCTCTCCCCCCTGTGTGCCCTCTATGTATTTATGAGCCCTCGTCTCCCTTTGTGGTTGTTTCATGTTTCCCCAGCCCGTTATGTCTGTGTTTTCCCCGGGCTCTCTCTCCTCCTGTCTGAACCTCTGTGCCTGTACATGTCATGTTCAGTTCACCCCGCCCTGTCTCGTTAGGATTATCAGTGTCACCTGTGTTCCCCGTGTGTGCCCACTTTCCTCGTTTACCCTCTGTGTATTTCTGTCTGAGTCTCCCTCTGTTCGGCGTCGCGTTCTCCCTCATGCCGTGTGTGGTTCTCCCCGTGTCTTCCGGTATATGTTACTTTAGCTTTTCCCAGTTTAGTGTAGTATTGCTTTTGTATCATCGTTATTGTTTATCACTTATCAGCAATAAAGCTGCATTTTGAGTTTATCCCCCGTGTCTGTGAGTTTGCAATTTGGGTCCTCATCCTGCCTGCCACACGGCCGAAACATGACAGAAGAACGCGACCACGATATGGACCCAGCGACTCCTGGCAGAGACGTAATCCAAGCGGTGGAGTCGTTATGCTACCAGTGGAGCCGAAGTTCTAGTGAGGAGGAGAGGGAGGAGTTACTTTCCTCGTTGGGGACAAGCGTCACGGTTTTTCCCTGGTTATGGGAGGCGCTACCCCCTCTGATCTTGGACTTCCTCCGCACCATCCTCCCAGCCTGCCCTCGGCAGCATCAGCGGTCCGGTGTGCGGACTGCGTCACCACAGCCCCGTGGCCGCGCAGCCTCCCCTCCGCCTGCTGTAAGCATACAAGTCGGCACGCTGAGGTTCGCCACGGCACCACACTCCTCTACGCTGGCGCCGTCCCTCTACTCGCCGGTTTCCACTTCGCTGTCGCAGCTCAGTCGTTCACCCTCACCGCCTCGACCGACCTACCCGTCTTCCGCTTCCTATCTGGCACGGATGTGGTCAGAAGACGAGGAGCCGGTCGCCACAGAAATCAAAGTTTCATCCACGACCACCTCAAAGAGGAAGCGGCGTTCGCGTCGCCGTCGCCCAGCGCTACGGCATGTTTCGCCCTCCAACGAGCCACACGAGGATGCGGGGGAGGTCATGGATTTCGACCTGGAGGAGCGGCAGCGTGCAGCATGCGATCAACTGGATGAAGAGCTCCGGTGGAAGCCGTGGCTAGCTCCCGACTATGAGGAGATCTTCCGGGGAACCCGCCTGGCTCTCGGGGGTCCCCTGAGCTTCCAGGAACTCTCATCTACCGCTCCATCAGCACCCAGTTCACCAGCCTCTGCGACGCCGCCCGGCGCGCATGAAGCGCCGTTGTCTGGTTCATTGGGAGCTGCAGTCAAGCAGAAACGGCGTTCGCGTCCCCGTCGCGCTGCGCGACAACCGGAGGTGAGTGAATGCACTCTCCCATCACCAGCCTTCGTTGAAGCCGTAGAAGAGAAACTAGATTCAAGTTCACAGATTCAAGGGTCACCATTAAAGGAGACACATAGTGTGGAGGCGGCGGACTCCAGTACTGTGACTGATGTGGTCAGTTCGCCTGGCTTCCATGAACAGGGAGTAAGACCCACACAGACTGTAAATCCCAGCACTGGAGAACATCAGCCTGCTCCTTTTCCTGCTCGTGTTTCTCCTCCCAGGCCAGTTCAGTTAGCTCCCTCGCAGCCACCCTCAGTTCAGTTAGCTCCCTCGCAGCCACCCTCAGTTCAGTTAGCTCCCTCGCAGCCACCCTCAGTTCAGTTAGCTCTCTCGCAGCCACCCTCAGTTCAGTCTCCAGTAGCTCCAGTGTCACCCCCAGTTCAGTCTCCAGTAGCTCCAGTGTCACCCCCAGTTCAGTCTCCAGTAGCTCCAGTGTCACCCCCAGTTCAGTCTCCAGTAGCTCCAGTGCCGCCTGTAGCGCAGGCCCCAGTAGCTCCAGTGCCGCCTGTAGCGCAGGCCCCAGTAGCTCCAGTGCCGCCTGTAGCGCAGGCCCCAGTAGCTCCAGTGCCGCCTGTAGCGCAGGCTCCAGTAGCTCCAGTGCCGCCTGTAGCGCAGGCTCCAGTAGCTCCTGTAGCCCAGTCCCCGATAGCAGTACGGTCCGCTGGTCAGCTTAACATTCAGCCAGGGGTCTCAAATCTCTCTGGCTCTGCATCAGCTCCTGCTGGGAGCTCGGATGAGCTCATCCAGGACTCCGCGGCTCCCACGCCGCCTTCTACCTCGTCAGCTGGAGGGTCCGAGGGGCCCGTTCAGCCTCCTGTCTCCGCTGGAGGGTCCGAGGGGCCCGTTCAGCCTCCTGTCTCCGCTGGAGGGTCCGAGGGGCCCGTTCAGCCTCCTGTCTCAGCTGGAGGGCCCGAGGAGCCCGTCCAGCACCATGCCACATCAGCTGGAGGGCCCGAGGAGCCCATCCAGCCACCTTCTGCTACGCCTGGTCCAGCCTGTGCTTCGTCAGCTGCAGCCTCAGAGCCTTCGTCTGCTGCAGCCTCAGCCTGTGCTTCGCCTGGTCCCGCCTCGACTGGTCCTGTGCCCACCGGGCCTCGGCCAGTACGCCTGACGCTGGAGAGCCGCCGCCGCTGCCTTCCGCGCGGCCGGCCTCCTGAACTGCTCCGTCGTCTCCTTCGTCGCCGCCGCCGTTGCCTTCCGCGCGGCCGGCCTCCGGACCGGCTCTGCCACCTGTGCCACCCGCCTGGTCGGCCCCCCGACCGTGTGACCCATGAACTCTTGTGCCTGTGGGCTCTGGGTCGGCCCCCTGAACTTTATTTTGACTATGGTCTTGTGCTCCCGTGTTTTCTGTTGTTTGTTTTGTTTCCCGTTCTGGTCCCTCCGTCCTGGTCCCCCGCCTCCCGCCCTGGGTGGGTTGTTTTCTGTTTTTGTTTCTCGGGTTTGGGCTGTCGGGAGCCAGCCCTTTAGGGGGGGGTGATGTCATGGTCCTGGGCCATGTGGGCCCAGTATTCTTAGTTCCTTGTATTTTTGTATTTCGTTCCTTATTTAGGCCATGTTTTCTGAGTTGCCCTGTTGTGTTGTTCCCTAAGTGTTTTCCCGTCATGGCTTTTACCCCCTGTGTGCCCCTCTGTGTATCTGTGAGCCCTCGTCTCTCCTTATGTTCTATTCCATGTTTCCCCTGCCCATTATGTCTAAGTTCTCCCCGTGCTCTCTCTCCCCCCTGTGTGCCCTCTATGTATTTATGAGCCCTCGTCTCCCTTTGTGGTTGTTTCATGTTTCCCCAGCCCGTTATGTCTGTGTTTTCCCCGGGCTCTCTCTCCTCCTGTCTGAACCTCTGTGCCTGTACATGTCATGTTCAGTTCACCCCGCCCTGTCTCGTTAGGATTATCAGTGTCACCTGTGTTCCCCGTGTGTGCCCACTTTCCTCGTTTACCCTCTGTGTATTTCTGTCTGAGTCTCCCTCTGTTCGGCGTCGCGTTCTCCCTCATGCCGTGTGTGGTTCTCCCCGTGTCTTCCGGTATATGTTACTTTAGCTTTTCCCAGTTTAGTGTAGTATTGCTTTTGTATCATCGTTATTGTTTATCACTTATCAGCAATAAAGCTGCATTTTGAGTTTATCCCCCGTGTCTGTGAGTTTGCAATTTGGGTCCTCATCCTGCCTGCCACACGGCCGAAACATGACAACGATATCAGCAATTGTGGCTATTCAATTGTTTTTTACCATTTCAGGTCTTACATAGTCGTAGTCGGACTTCACAATGTTCGTTCAAGTAAAGAAACACAACGCATATCTGTAGAAGAAACATTTCCACATGAACAGTTCAACCCAATTTCCTTTGTGAATGATGTAATGCTTCTAAAGGTAAGAATGTCATCACACAGAAAATATATTTGTTTTCCATTTGCATTTTTCTTTTATTACAATATCTTTTTTTAATTTACTTCATTCATTTGTATTACAAAATGCTGTAAAAAAAAAATCACATTTTGATATCTGTTTTTTTCCTTAAGTTGAGCACTGTGATATTCTGGATTAGGCTCTTAGAAGGATCAGGACAAAAGGACGTGGATAGGTGCCTTTATTGAACAGCAGGACATCACACACTAACTTGTTGTTTCTTAGCGGTGCAGAAAACTACCCTTTTTTGTTGTTATATATTGGTCAACCAAGAACTAGCCCTGTAACAGGCACTTCTGTATTTTACCACTGGGGGGCAACAATTCACTCTATTACATTCCTCCCCTTTTAGATTTGTAATTGAAGTAAGCAACCCTTTAAAGAATGTATTTCACTGCCCCCACCAAAAAGAAATATTCTGTGGCCCTTACGAACAATGAACAAATGTAGCCATTACTTCCATTATTAACTCTTCACTTCTAAAATAACTGGCAGTAAATAACTAAAACATAACTCTACATTTTCAAAGATTCAGTCTCTTTGGGGGAACTCTGCGTCTCTCTGGGTATCTGCGTTCCACAGATGGGCTTTGGGTGGTTTCTGGGTTGGATACTGGTGGTTCATCGGTTGTCTGTTTAGGTGGTTCAGGAGGTAAGGAGTGTGATGTTAAAATCCCAGGTGGACTTGGTGGTATCTCTGGAACAACACTGTCCATAATCACTTCTGGCCGTCCCTCTGAAACCGGTGAAAATATAACTGGGGGTTTCTCCACAGTCTGTCTCCATGGTAACAGGTGATCCACATGTATTGTGCGTGTTCTCTGTCCCTCTTGTATCAGGTAAGTAACACTTCCCATTTTCTTCAGAACTGTTCCCTGAGTCCATTTTGTTTCCCCCCCCCTGAAGTTTCGGATACGCACAGCGTCTCCCTCCGAAAAAACACGAACAGGTTGGGTTTTGTAATCATGGTGTCGCTTCTGCTCAGACTGTTTCTGTTCAATGTGTCTGCTTAGTTCAGGTTTCAGCAGGCTGAAGCGAGTCCGGATCTGACGTTTCAGGAACAACTCTGCTGGTGTACGACCCGTTACAGTGTGCGGTGTACTGCGATACATGATAAGGAAGTTTGCCAAACGATGACTGAGTGGCAATGTGGGCTTACCATCTGCTTCCAGCACATTTTTCATCAGGGATCGTTTCAGGATTTGTACTGACCTCTCTGCTGCCCCGTTTGATGCAGGATGATAGGCAGGAACAGCTGTGTGTCTGATCCCATTTAACTCCAGAAACTGATTGAATTCCTTTGACACAAGTTGAGGTCCATTGTCTGAAACAAGCTCTTCTGGAAGTCCATATGAAGCAAATAACCCTCTCAAAACCTCAATGGTGTTGTGTGAGGTAATGGATGGCATAGGGAACACTTCCAACCATTTTGAATTACTGTCAATGACAACTAAAAAGTACTGCTTGCCTTTTTCAGCGAAATCAATGTGAATCCGTTGCCAAACTCTCTCAGGCCACTTCCACGGATGGAGTGGTGCAACGGGTGGTGACTTCTGTACAGCCTGACAGACTGAGCAGCTTTGAACCAGTTCTTGTATATCACCATCACAGCCTGGCCACCACAGGTAACTGCGAGCGAGTGCTTTCATACGACAGATACCTGGATGTTCATGATGCAGGTCTTCCAGCACTTTCTGTTGGTAAACCGGTGGAATGATGACCCGTTGTCCCCAAAGAACACATCCTTGTTCTGCTGACAGCTCGTGTCTGCGTGTAAAGTAAGGCTTAAGTGATTCGTCTTGCATATAACTTGGCCACCCATTCATGGTGTAGCTCCAGACCTTGCTGAGGATTGGATCCTTCATGGTTGCTCTCTCAATGTCTTTAGCTACTATTGGTAGCTCTTCCACATGTGAGAAATAGAAGATACTTCCCTCAGCGGCAATGTTGTCTGGCGTATTCCGAGGTAGACGTGACAATGCATCTGCATTAGCATGTTCAGCTGATCTTCTATATTCAATGTCATAATTGTATGCCATTAGAATAAGAGCCCAGCGTTGCATTCTTAGTGCAGCGAGTGTTGGGACAGCTGACTTTGGCCCTAGTATAGCCAGCAGTGGCTTATGATCTGTTATGAGGGTGAATTTCCTTCCATACAGATATTTATGGAATTTCTTTACTCCAAAAATTATGGCAAGGGCCTCTTTTTCTATCTGGGCATACTTTCGCTCAGCTTCAGTTAATGTTCTTGATGCGAAAGCCACAGGCCTTTCCTCTCCATTTTCCATGACATGAGAGATGACTGCGCCCAATCCATAAGGTGATGCATCGCAGGCTAACTTCAATGGCAGATTTGTGCTGTAGTGCACCAACACTTTGTTCTGCAGCAGTAGACTTTTTGCATCCCTGAATGCTTTTGCACATTCCATGGTCCAAATCCATTTAGCATCTTTTCTCAACAGGTTATGCAAAGGCTGAAGAATGGTGGATGGATTTTCCAAAAATCGACTGTAGTAATTTAGAAGACCAAGAAAGGACTTCAGTTCAGTGACGTTTGTTGGTTCTGGTGCATTTGCTATGGCTGCTACCTTTTCCTCTAAAGGATGCAGACCATCCCTGTCAATACGATGTCCCAGGTACTCCACACTGCTCTGAAGAAAGTGGCACTTGGAAAGCTTCACTCTGACACCATGCTTCTCCAGACGTGTGAGTACTTCCTCCAACCTCTTCAAATGATCCCTTTCAGATGAAGCAGTGATGAGGATGTCATCCAAAAAGCAGGTGACATGCTCCATCCCCTGAAGGATTTGATCCATCACAGACTGGAAAAGAGCCGGAGCACTGGAAACACCATAGCTGAGGCGATTGTACTTATAGAGACCTTTGTGTGTGTTGATGACCAGATACTTCTCTGATTCTTCATCTAACTGTAGCTGCTGATAGGCATGAGAAAGGTCAAGTTTACTGAAGGATGTTCCTCCAGCTAAAGTGGCAAACAAATCTTCAGTATTTGGAAGTGGATATCTTTCCTCTTCAACACACTGGTTGACACTGACTTTGTAGTCACCACATATCCTAATTGTTTTGTCTGCCTTTGGCACAGTAACAATAGGGGATGCCCACTCACCTTTCTCAACCTTTGAAATAACCTTCACCTTTTCCAATCTGTCCAGCTCCTTTTCCACAGCTTCTTTTAGTGCATAAGGAACTGGGCGAGCTTTACAGAAAATTGGTGTGGTGTTTGGTTTAGTGTGGATTCTAGCTTTAAATCCCTTTATGCAGCCTTGGTCATCCGAAAACACTGCCTGATGGCGCTGAATCACTTCTAGGACTCCTGGCTTTGCTTCTTTCTGCACCAGTACCTTGTGTACTGTGAAAATCTGTTTCCAGTTCAGCTGTAGTTTCTTTAACCAGTTTTGTCCAATCAGAGCTGGTCTGTCTCCCTGAACAACGATCAGTGGTAGGGTGATGTTTTGAGTCCCATACTGTACTGGTAACATAATATATCCACGCACAGCAATGTGTTGGCCTGAGTAGGACTTGAGCTTTAGCCCACTGGCTGGTTTTATAGGGAAATGAGTGAGATGCATCTGATAATACTTGTCTGATACTACCGACACTGCTGATCCTGTATCCAGCAGCATGGTAGTGTTCTTGCTCCCAAGCGCAACATCCACTGTGTATCCCTTCTCACTGGAGGTGATGGAGTACATTGAATAAACTCCAAAAAGTTCAGCTTCATCATTCCTACTTGAGCATTCATCCTCAGTTTCCAAATACTGAGTTTGCTGACTGAATTTTTTATTCCTGCAAGCACGTGCAATGTGTCCTATCTTTGCACAAACATGACACTTTTCGCTCTTAAATTTGCACTAACGTGCTGAATGCTTTCCACCACAACGATAACATGGTTGCTTCATTCCTGTGTCTTTTTTAGGTCCCTTCCAGTTCTTTGGCTTGTTATTGCCCTCTTGCCTGTTCTGTCCTTTCCATCCTTTGTTGAAAAAATTTGGAGCATTTGTCAAGGCATTTACGTGGTGAGGGTCCTGGCGTCCTGAGAACTCCATCGTATTTTTCGAAGCGAGTTCCATGGATACGGCAATCTCACATGCACGTGGAAATGTAAGATCCTTTTCCGATAGTAGCTTGCGCTGCACAGCATCAGAACGCAGCCCACTAACAAAACGATCCCTCAGGGCCTCATCCAAATATTGTCCAAAATCACATGTGGCTGACAACTGCTTCAGGGCGACAACATAGTCAGAAACCGCCTCCCCTTCTTTCTGGTTACGTTTCTGAAAACGAAAACGCTCAGCTATCACCACTGGAGTCGGCTTATAATGCGCACTTAACGCCCCAGTCAGCGCTGCAAATCCCATGGTACTCGGTACCCTCGGAGACACAAGATTCTTTAGCAGCCTGTATGTATCTGCTCCGATCACAGAGAGAAACGTGCACACTTTCTTCTCATCGGAAACATCATTTGCCAACATCCATTGCTCCAACCGCTCCAAATATGACTCAAAATCTTCCTTCGATTCATTATACTCTTCAACACGACCCACATGCATCGCCATGTTAGCTCACCAAAAGCTGTTCCGCTGCAGCCGTGAAGAAAACGTCTTGATTTGTCTTTTTCTTTACATGTGAACACAACCCTCCTACAGCCTCTGTCACGCTGTGGAAATCTTTAGAATCCTCGTCGCCAGTTGTGATATTCTGGATTAGGCTCTTAGAAGGATCAGGACAAAAGGACGTGGATAGGTGCCTTTATTGAACAGCAGGACATCACACACTAACTTGTTTCTTAGCGGTGCAGAAAACTACCCTTTTTTGTTGTTATATATTGGTCAACCAAGAACTAGCCCTGTAACAGGCACTTCTGTATTTTACCACTGGGGAGCAACAATTCACTCTATTACAAGCACCAAGGCAAACTTCAACGAAAATGTGAAACCTATTCCCCTGGCAAGTCGTGATAATGGTACTTTGCCAAAATCATGTATACTCTCTGGCTGGGGACGAACAGACAAAAATGCTAAATATTTGTCTCCCACACTCATGGAAATCAGTGTTACACTGGTTGACAATAAGGAGTGCACCATGGAAAACTTCTACTGCTCTCAGGGAGACACAGGTCCAGCTGAGGTACATACATTTCTTTAAATATCATGTGGACAATCAAACTTTATGGTAATAACTTCACTATTCACTTTAAGCATCGGGTGTGTATATACTTTCAGGGAGACTCTGGTGGTCCATTGGTGTGTGAAGATGGAAAGGCATTTGGGGTGGTCTCCAGTGCAGTCAGACCACACTCAGGTGGCTCAGATATCTATAGATACTCGAAGATTCCTGACTCTAGAAACTGGATATTTTCAACCATTGGAAATGCCATGATAAAGGTGTAATGCTTATGAAGGCAGGTTGTTTAAATTTCATCTTTTGCTTTTGCTGTTTGTGTTTGAAAATTGATCACTGCAATGCTAATGCTAAGTTTGGGCTTGCAGGCTTTGTACAGATCTAACTTTGATGTCTCCACAGCAAAAGCTTTGTCAGAAGAAATGAGAGTGTCAAGGTTTTTTATAAGGTTCTAAAAGGAATTTCTAAATTTGTATTTGCAACAACTCGTTCATTCCACACAGATTAAATATAACCCTAAATCTAAAATTAAACTGTAGCAGTGCATAAGGTGTCATTTCAATTGACATTTGATAGTGTATTTGATTACATTTAAATTTGTTATATGTGCCATATTTTTTCAAATAATAAATTCTGACTGTCTCTCGTTATATGTGTGCAGTTCTTTCAAATAAAAAGACAGCATTTCCTCCCTGTGAAAAATAGTGCCCTTATCTTGAATTCAGAGTTGCAACTGTCTTTCTACTTGCAAGCTTCAAACTTATTCAGTTTTGGAAGACCTGAAACCAGTAGAATTTCATTAATTCTATCTTGGAAAGAAAAGACCCCCTAGGGCAGTGGTCCCCAACCTTTTTTGCGCCACGGACCGGTTTATGCCCGACAATATTTTCACGGACCGGCCTTTAAGGTGTCGCGGATAAATACAACAAAATAAAACTAGTACCGGTACCGAAAAAAAGAAGATTTATTCATAACACACGTGAAAAGACCCAGGAAAACAGAGTTAACGATAAAAACGATAACAAAATAACACTGAAAACAGATAAAAACCCTGAAAACCATATATTTCACACCTGAGCCTCAACTCTCGCGACCTGGTACCAAACGACTCACGGACTGGTACCGGTCCGAGGGGACCGCTGCCCTAGGGGGTCCATTGTCCCTCTCAGGGGGTTACTCCCACGGGGTTTAACTCTGGGACTCTCCACCATTTGACCCTAGAACTGAAGAAGCTTCTCCGATGAGAGGTGAAATGTCTTCAAGCAACTTAAAGAAGTCCAGACGCTTTTCTTTCCAAGCTCCTTGGACTACAATGACCTGGATGACTGAGAACCTTCACAGACATTAATTCTATCCCCATCACAAAACAAATGTGGAAGTCTCTTTACAATTGACTCTGTATTGGAATTTATTTTATTTATGTATTGGTCACATTGTTGCTTTGGTGCCACTGGGTTTTTAGCATGTCTGCTTCACACTTTATTCAGGAAGTTGGGAGGGAGCATTCACGCAGGAAGAACCCAAAATGTTGTGAGAATCCCACAGTTAGTGGAATCCTTTGTTAGATCCAAGGTGTTAACGAGAGAGACTTTATTAAAAGAAATAGTTACTCTTAAAGCGAATCAGTCGACTTCAAGGCTTGGGAGTATTTTTATTTTAGCAGTCTCTAACAATGTTTAAGAGGGTGGTACACCTCAAAGTTTCCAAAGACAGAAACAGAGCAGAACATTAATTAACAAAAGGATAATCAGTGTAGTTCATTTCACCCAGCAGTGGTTTTATAGTTAGGGGTTTAGGCTGATTGTTGGTTCTCTTGGTTTGTTTAAACAGACCATAAGAATTTTTTTTAAGTGATAGGTTATCAGAAACTACATTCTGTTTTTGTTTTTGTTTTTTTACAACTGAAGCAGAGGAAATTGTCTCTGACATTAATCTAAAGATCCTATTTAACACATCTTTGCATGTAGCCAAGCAATACTGAGATGCAGAAAATATAAACAAACAAGCTACAGCTAAAATCCTACACTGGTGCACCAAAATAAATGTGAAACACCTTAAGCATATAGTACGAAGAAGAAGGTACTAAAGCAAAGGTGGCCCAAAATAAATCTATAAATAGATGAATCAATGATACATTTCTCCCCAGTTTAATTGTCTTCTTATTACTAAATTAATAAATCATTATGTTTTAAATTTTTTTCCCAAATAATTAAATTCATTTTCATTTATGTGACTCTTAAAACACTAGATTAGTGAAAACTTAAGTAATGATACATTTGCTTCAAACATAGAACAGCATAAAGCAGTAATTAGTCATTGCTGATTATCTACAAAGAGGAAGCAGTAAGGGTGCAGTACATTATCTCGCTGTTTCATAATTACCAGAGTATTACTAAATTAGTGCATCCCTTCAAGGAAAGTACATTGAGTAATTTCCCCGTAACTTTAAAAGTTTAATCATGATATTCCTGAAGGTCAAACATACATCACTGGTGAAACTAACTGTGTTATCTTTTAAACAAAGCATCTTTCAGTGGTTAAGATTATAAAGTCACTCTAAATAAAACAAAATGTAATTTAATGAAACTAAATATTTAATACTTACAATGAGATTTAGGACTGCTGACGTCCTTGATTGTGGTTCAAAGCCACATCATGGCTCATGCAGTGCACAGTCACATCTTACAAATAAACATTCAAAGACTGAAACAGAAAGTATGTGCACTGCTGCTCTTTAGTATTTCAGTTGGGATCTCACCACCACCTTACACTCATCTTTGTTGCTGTAGGTGCAATTTGATGCGAATCATAGAAGAAAACCACACAAACACACAAAAGGATGGTGCCAGAAATTCTTACTCATAATTTTGTTGTGTAACTATTAGTAATTATTTATTCTTAGTCCCTCACCCTCACCCCATTATTTTTCCTAATTCCAAACCAAACAAACACATTCTACTCTGAGCACACAGGCTTTTTTTAAATACCAGTGTACCTTGTCTAGCAATCACATTCACACTCACAGGTGCAATGGATACAACTTTCAGCATCTTATCCAAGGATTCTTATAGATGCAGACTGGAGTATGTGGAAATTAAACCACCAACCTTCAATTTGGTAGACAACCCAGACCACCACCTGAATGACAGCTGCCCATGTTAACATGCACATCATGTGCATTTCTTTTAAATCACCATGGACAAACAAACAATGCCACTTTTTTAAAGCAACACTACATGCAAAATCCAACATTGCTAATGTTTATATTTATTGATTGCACGTGATTTTTATAACTACACTTAAACCAAAGTGTATAACTTTCATGACTTAATGCTGTTTATCTCTTGTTTTGTAGAGGCCATTTTTTTCAGCATGCTTTTATATATGATATATAATAAATTACTGCACTGTGCATCTTCTTTGAGACTAGCAGAGAACAAAGAATCCACAGTTTGTTTTGAACCAGATTTTTAAACAATAAACTGCATTTTCTCAGCACATCCAGGCATGTATGCTTCTCTATGTATGCACAACGTTGTTTCCTAGTGAAGAACAAGCATTGCTTCATTAAGAAGAGGTCCACAATTGACTTAAAGTCTAAATTGCAGCTTTCTTCTCATTAAGAACTTTCAACCTGACAAAGTAGTTATTACTGATGTACTCTATATGGCTGAAGTGGAACACGAGAAATCCCGTACTGCAAGTTAGATTTTTTTAAGCATGAGTTCAGACACATAAAGACAGCACTGCCTCCTTGTGAAGAAATTGCATTGATGCACCTTGGATGTACTGTTTCAGTTGTCTTTTCATTTATGAGCTTTCTAAGCAAATATGTATGATATGAACTCACATTTAAATGCTGACAAAGCTTCATATGGATACTAACAGCATGTGCCATTATTTCCAGTGAAAAAACATATTTTGTCTCCTATAATGTTCTTTCATGTTTTAAACAGTCAATCTATGACATGTACTATATTATTCTCTCTCTCATAATAGCAATAGTGATAATGTCAGATACAGTCATAAGTCTTTCGATACTGTGATAGAATGACTTTCATTATTATCATACCATAATTTATACTGAATGACTAAAATTTTGATTTATCATCATTTATGTCTGTCAGGGGCTGGGGCTGTGACCCGGAGTCTCGAGTTTATTTTGTGTTGTTTTCTTTCTTACTTAAGATTCATGTGTTACTCTTAGTTAAGGGTGTAGTTGAGTTATTTTGTATTTTTGATTACTAATGAAATAATGTTCTGGTATTATTATTAGTTTGTCTTCTGTCTCTTGTGCCTCGCCCTTCTATGTCTCACTACTCTCTCTATGTGCATGTGTGTGTGTTTTACGGGTCTCGTCCCCCTTATCTGTTCCCATACTCTTCTCCCTGTGTTCCTTTCCATTCCCCCAGCCTGCCATGTAATTCATGCCTGTGTGTTCTATGTCTTATTGTCAAGTTTAGTTGTCATGGCCACGTTTCGTCATGTTTCCTATTTTATTTTGAAAGGTCTGGTGTTTCCATGTTAAGTGTATTTTGTTTTATTTCCCCTGTGGCGTTCAGGTTCATTTATGTCAGCTGTGTTCCCCAGGTGTTTCCACTTCCCTCATTACCCTTAGGTGTCTTTAAAGTCCTCTGTCTAAGTCTGTCCTTTGTCGAGTCGCCTGTTGTCTTCATGTCAAGTCACATCAGGCCACAGAGTCTTGCTTTCAAGTGTTCATGTTCATGCTCAGGTTTCTTCACATTCAAGGTTTTACATGCTCCTGTTCAGTTTTCATGTTATGTTCTCATAACATTGTTTTCATAGTTAGTTTAGTTCATTCCCTATTTAGGTTTTGGTTTAGTTTCACCTTGCCTTGTTTTTCTGTTTTTTTTTTTTGGTAACAGTCATAATAAAGGCTCGCTTTTTGTTTAAACCTCAGTTCATCTCTCCCGTGTCTGCACTTGGGTCCGCTCAATAAACACAACGGCTACTCTGCTGTGACAGTGGCTTAATCTCTAGCTACTGCATATCTCATTCTTCCTATTTATTACACCGTTTAGTCTTGTTATAGGACAAATTCTTATAACAGGAACATTATGATGATTGTTTAAAGACCCTTCAATAGCTTAAGGTCGAAAATATTGCAGAACACTATGTTTGGACATTGGCTGTTGAGCATAGGTATAAATATTCAAGCGACAATGACATCAGTGGGGGACACCACTAAGCAAAATTGCACGTATAGTCAGCATGTAGTTGGTGCCTTAAAATGTGTTGAATAGTCTCCTCTGTTGTCGTGTGATGCATGGCCCTTTGACACTGGCAGCAGATGCTTTGGATATGCAGCAATGTTTAGGTGTGTTGTATGCATGAAAGTAACATTTAGATGCGAAATATCTAGCAAGAGTATTTTTATATACTTGTGACCAAGCAATACAAAGGTACAGAAAACCTGGAACAAACTTAAATAAAAAAGTAGATAAATCCAAACAAAAACAAACATCTTTTACACCTTCATTTAAATCTAATTTTTCCCTTATAACAACTGTTGTACATTCATATATGCAAATGTCAGGAGAGTAGTTGTGGTTTTAAAATGGCAGGTAAACTCAACAGCAATGTTTCAAAAAACAC